CACACACAACACACACCACACACACTACCACCATTCCACAAAACCCATGCATCTTTTCCGAAGTTAGTGATGTGCTCCAAGTAAGACTATAATGGCCAGGAATGACTACAGGGAGAAAGAGGCTCCAGGCAGGGGTCCTTCTGTCTGTGCAAAGGTCACCCACGGGGCAAGGTCAAACACCAGGTTCCTGCTGAGCCCGCGCCCTCACCACACCTCCCAACTCTGACACATCCCAAATGGCACTATACATAACACCACGCTCCCAACTCCTCACTTTTTCACCCCGGTAAGACCACTTCACCCTCTAGACACGATCACACCGCATCCTCCTTACCGGCCTCCACCTTATATCAATAAATCAGAGCTATTTGATGTTGTTTAGGCTTACAAATTGCTCCCCTGGGAGAGTGTGTGTGTGTGGTTGTGTGTGTGTGGTGTGTGTGACCACGGAATGAGGAGTGTGTGCTGCGTCGACTGTTCACGGTCGCCTCTCCAGAGAACCGAGTCACCCCTGGGCCCGGTAGCACGCTGACCCTTGGTTTCTGCCCCTGCCCGGTCTCTGCCTCGCCCGCTGTTATAATGCATCAGAGCAGACGTGCTTCCCTCGGGGGCCCAGCGGGACAGGCCAGTGGCTATGCCGGGCTCCAGAGAGAGTGTGTGTGCGTATGTTGTCCAGGTGTCTCCAGAGAAGAGGCTGGATGTGCGGTGAGCTGCCCTTGGTTTTGCGGTTCTGCCTGCTGTATAATGCATCAGACAGGAAGTCTTCCTCGGGAGCCCAGGGGGACAGGCCCAGTGGCTATGCCGGCTCCACGACGGGCGCCCGGTTTCACGTCGCGTGAAGAAGATATGAATAATAGAGGATGGTGACCGGATTGTAGTGCTACAGAGGGGCATTGTCTTGCCAAAGTGTTCTTTCTCAAGGTCCATTATTTATGTTGTTCTCATGTCATATATAGAGGTAACAGTGTATATATTAGAAATGTACAGGGGCTATTATCTAAGACATTATTTAGATATTTTATATATATAGTTTATACTTATATTGTGTGCTGTTTGGAGGAGAGCAAACATAACCACCTCTGGTTTTCAGTTAAAGAGTCAGTTCACCCAAATCAGAGATATCATTGATGAGAACTGCTCAAAGTCAGGCCTGTTGATGGATCCGAGTAATGCAGATTGTACTGAAAGAACAGTTGCTGTAGAGTTTTCCAAATGTCGTTTTTCAATATTTAGAGCACTACACATTTTTTTTCTGGTGCTCAAAAAAATCCATCTTATTGGAGGAGCAGCAGAATCTCACAGATAAAACTCAGCAGCAATAACAAAAACAGCAAAACTGTCTTCATGGTCTATAGTGAGAATATACTATGTTTTGGTAATTTGGGCGTACTGAGCCTTTACAGACTCCTCCATTGTATGTGTGTGTGTGTGTGTGTATGCAGCTGTAAGTATGTAAGAGAGAGGAATGGGTTAATACAGAGACGGCATGGAACTGTCTCTTCAAATATGTGAGAAAGTAAGACTGTGCGTGAGCCTGCGTGCGTGTAATCCCATCACCACAGTAACCCGAACACACTGACCACCAGCAGCTAAATAATACTGCCTCATTTCTCCCTATTCTTTACCTGCAGCTTCACTTTAACGTTCAGTCATCCTGTCTTATTTCCTACAATTTTCACCCGTTTTACTCTCAGAAGATGCACCTCCGAGCACATCTGTAACATCACAACACACAAATACACTGCATGGTCTTACCTTTGGGGGATACGCTACGTGACTTCTTGCTGTCAGAGGGACACTCGCTGCTGCTGTTGGGAGAGAAGCTTCTCCTCTTGCCTAGAAGGTCATCTGTAAATACACACACACAAAGACAGAAAGAGAAGTCAGTTAAAAAAAAAAGACCAAAGTAAAAAGCTGTGGTACTGACGCTCTGCTCCACGTCTACCTGTATACATGGCAGCTGCTTTGGAAATGCAGAATTTGAAGAGAGGGAGAGCAAAAAAAGACCCAAAGAGAAAAAAGTGATAGGTGGAGAGAAAGAGAGAAACAGAGCGAGTGAAGCAAGCCACGGGCGTCTGGAGATGTGCCTGTTCTGTCAAAAATGAGAGGGGGCCTGCACCGCTGTGGATGACAGATCTGCCCGGCTCATTCACGTGTGTGTGTGCGTGTGTGTTTGTGTATTTGAGGGAGGGAGGAGGGCTTTGTCTCTCTGTGTCTCCTCAAACGTCTCTTTCCAACAGTCTGTCCTCAAGTGTTATCACTGTTCTTCCTCTCTCTCTTCTCTTCTTCCTTTACTTTTTCCAGATGTTGGCACAAAAGGCTCTGACTGAACTAAAGTGCTCGAGAGCCTTCAGCTGCTCAAGAAACTCCTCTCAGCCTACATTATGTCTATATCATGTTTTTAGTTTTTGTTTTTGTACCTCAACAACAGCCACTCCCCTCTCTTGTAGCTGTCCTCCCCTCATAAACACACTTCTGATCTTCTTGTCTCTACATCTGCTTCCTTCTCTTTCTCCTCTCCTCTAGGTGCATTTGAAACCTTCCTCCCATCAGGAGTTCTCTGTCTTTACTCCCATTAACACCCTCACTGCCTCCTCCTACTCCTCTTCCTCCCTGTTCTCCCCATACCTCCTCCCCTGCCACCAAAGTGGAGCATCTAGTGTACAATTACAGCACCCCCTACTGCCTTCCGCCTCCTCCTCCTCCTCCTCTCCTCCCCTCTCATCCCTCTCTTCCTTCCCACCCAATCGCCTCACCTCCACCCCCCTCAAACACACCTCAAATCAATACGGGCCTAATCAGAGAGGGAGGGGATGCAGAGCACACCGCACGCAGCGCCGGCAGGAAGGAAAAAGCCGTTTGTCATTGCTCTCTCTCTCTCTCTCTCTCTTTCTTTCTTTCTCTATTTCTATCTCATGCACCTCTGCTTTTTCTCTAACTCTGTTTCTTCCTCCACACAGACAGCCAACCCACAGCAGCAACTGCTTCCCTTCTTTCTCTTTTTTTCTCGCTTTCTTTCTCACTTCTCAGTGCGTATTTTTAGGGATGGGGGAGCGTTTTTTTTCTCTCCCTCAAGGAGAATGGTTCCTCTCTCCCTCTGTCTCTCTTTTTCAACAAAGCAATTTTTCATCATTTGCACAGCATGTGTAAACAGTACGGAGAAACAATGAACAGGAAGGAAGAAAATACAAACAAAACAACATAATTTCGTAGCAATACCCAAGCAAATAACATTTGGCGATTTCTGTCATGTGTCCACTCCTGATATTGTTGTTACCTTAGCAACGGGCAGACAGTCATCAACAGAGGAGTGAAGCTGGAGAGGAGTCTGACCTTTAACCCTTAACCTATCACCCAAACTTATGTTCTTTCTTCTCTATAACAAGACACAGAGAGACAGGGAGGGGAAAGAGACAGAAAGAGATTTAGACAGGACTCAGAGGATTTTGTTGGGCTGCCGAAGGAGCCCTGGTGTTGATGAGAGGGCGAGCAAGCCAACGAGAAAGAGAGGGAGAGGGAGGAGGTCCACTAATGATCCAGTGTTTGATGTTGCCTCTCAGGTCCTGAGGAGATCCACTCCCTATACCATCCTAAAGAGACTGAGAAGGGAGGGGGGAGCACTAATGGACAACTCGCGCGCACACACGCACACACGCACACACACACTGAATGTCTTTCACAATTTCTACTTTTTTTGCCACTTCTTTTATTATACCTCATTTGGTTTTTCTTCTCATTTTCAAATCACGTTCAGTGCATTTCTTTCACTGGTCTTTTTTTTCTGTTAAAAAAAAAATCCATCTATCCTATTAGTGGAATATTAACAAAGAGAGAGAGAGAGAGAACCCCCTTTTCTACCAAACAGACACACACACATGCTTACACCCACACCCAGAGCCTCTCATGATCAAACACACACACTTGAGTCGTCTCTTGAGCCGACCTCACTCAAGACACTGTGTCTCCTGAGCGAGTGCCCGAGGGCCAGAGATTTGAGGGCGGAAAGCTTTTAAAGCCAATTAAATGGGGCTTCTTAGAGCACCGGCACTCCCTTTTAATGCCCAACCCTAAGTTCTTGCTAGCGTCTATGCTAACCCTTTTACTCCCACTAACCCCGCTTACAGTCAAGTTTGCTACCCCGGGCATTTCCCATCACCTGCTTGTTAATATGGCTGAAGAATTAGTGGTTATGGAGTCAAGAGTTTTATTTCAGCTTCAAGGCTGTGATTTTAACCATCAAAAGAGTACAATATAGAGAAGTGAATATAGCACAAGCTGCTATGATATAGCCCCGTTTTTTTTTTTTTGCCTTCCCGGTCAGCAGTCTTTTTTTTCTAAGAAGTTGACCTAAACACACACTATTCTAGCCTCTGACTCAGTTCCTCCTTGCTAGTTAACCTCCTCGTTATCTGCTGCTCCTCCCACTGAGAGAAAAGAGGGATGAAAACTATGGGACAGATAGAGAAAGAGGAAACAGCAGGACCAAAACCACTTCTCTTTCATGTGACACCACCAGGGCAAACCATCAGGCAGGGAAGCATTCCTCTTTCTTTCTTACTCTCTGATTTCCTCTCCTCCCTCAAACTTTAGTCCTCTTCCTCCCCTCTCTCCATCCCATGGAGCGTGGTGACAGCTCAGACAGCCAGACTCCTTAATTCCTCTCTTACTCCGTTAATCTGTCATCTTTATCAGGCCGGGGAGGGGGGGGGCTGTGCGGAGAAAAGG